ATATTAATGCACAATTACTACAGTGAAGCCCCTCATTCATAATACTCATCTAGGAAAGGCCAAAGAAAGCTCCAAACAGCATAAAAATGGAAATAATTTAAGAAGAAATTAACAAATACAGATTTGTATTTATCATGGGAAAATAGACCTGAAGAAGACAGCTAATCTTAACCACATCAGCAAGAAAGAGGGCTGAGATTAATACAATATCGGTGCACAATATACATAATGAGAAAATCACCAAACGAAAAATGTTAGCCGATTGTCACAGGTGTGGCACCTCAACCACAGATCGACACACAAAAAAGTTAACTGAAGTCCGTGTATTCTGACACCATGCAGTCTTGTAGGTAGTATGTTTCAGAATAACAAATTGCCTCCATGTCACCCTGAAGATGGAGGTTATACAGGCTTCTGAAACACTCGTAACCACCCACAAGACCATACAGCTCAACCCAGAAGACCACGGATGACGTTTCCACCACTGTGAGAATTTCAATCACACAAAAATCACAAAAGGCTACAGTCTGACCAATGGCAGAATAGTAAATGACAGTATGGGGCCTGTTTGCAGTTCAGACCACTGAGAAAGTGCCACTACTGACTTACACAGCTCTGAAATTAAGTAAACATAATCCGAATGCTCAACAGATGCAAACAGTACAAAAGCTTGTAAGCAGCTGGCAGCAGATAGCTAACTAAAATTTTAAAAATAATAATAAAAAAATAAACATTTTTTTTTAAAAAAGTATACCAGGATGATAAATATTTTCTTTTCCATGGATTCTCCATTTGGCAATCAAGACAATTCATTATCAAATCCCAATACTCAGCAGCAGCATAATGGATCAATAAATTCATTTACAATTTCTTTTAGAAAAGACATCAATGTAAAATCCAATGATAATTTATGTGAGATTAGAAAAAATCAACTGTATCAGAAAGGCAAACATGGTAGAATATACTCAAATATACACTGCAAATTATTTTTATCCAGTTCTGCGTGCGCACAAAGACCAAAAATACCATGTTGCCATCACAAATTCTGACATTTTTATTCCAAATTTAAACAACTTGCAGGAAAGAATCTAAAAGAGACACATCCCTTCCACAGCGCTAGACATTTACAGTCCCTGAAACCTGTTAGAGACGCTTGACACGCCCTATACTTCTGAATAATGCCTTAAAAATGAAGAGGCCCAACACAATTCAAGTTTGGGTACCAAACTGCCAGTGAAATTCTCAACTGCTGTTATTATACGTCTTCCTCCCAAATGATATCACATCATCATTACAGCATTATGAAGGTCACAACCACAGACTGCATGGTCACCATCCACATCTACCAACTTTCTTCTCAATCATTGCTAATGAAATTTCTTGCACTCCATCACATTCTGCCTGCTGACATCTTGCTTTGACCCATGAACTGCACATAACCTTATGAATGGGATGGCTCCAACAGTACAGGCATTCATTTGTTTACAAATGGTATTCATTCCTACAAAAAGCCAGCTGTTTCATACTCCTTGTGAAGTCAGAAATAACCTTCTAGCAGCCACAAGTGCCTTCACAAAAACAATGCATTTTGGACTAAAATACAGAATACACCATCAAAATCAAACTATTTTAACAACCCACAAACAAACCCATCAGTTTTCATGCATTATTTACTTAGAAAAATCTCTGAAAGGACTGAGAAAGCCTACAAGATTTAAAGCAAATCAATGAATGGAAACCTACACAGCTTTTTTACAAACATATAGTATATACAAGAAGTAAATATGTACTTTTATTTCAGGCTTCAAAAGCCCAACCAAACCTCAAAAATCAAATTAACATGGTGACAGAATGATAAGAACAATGTCAGATGAAATTCTGCTTAACAAATTGTAGAAAATTCAAATTTTCTTAGAAGTTTTAGCAGGAATTTCATACAAAACTAGGAAAATAGAAAGCCATGCAAATATGGGGTTTCACTGCTAAGTCTAAAATTATGTTACAATACTGTCTTGGCCAATGGTGTTGGCCTAGGTCCTTATAATCAGAGCCATGTGTCCATAGCATATCCTATATACAATTTTTCAGGTAAGACAAGTACCACATTCATTCAACCTATGAAACTATCATAACAGATCTCTGAAAAGACACAACACTTTATTCCTGGAAAATAATAATAATATGGATCTACTTCCCAGTTATGTAGTTAATTTTGAGCACAGTGACAGCAGAATGAAGGAAGCATGCAGTCAAACCCCCCACCACAATCCTCACCTTATTCATTGCACACAGCCTGTTCTCCCTGTCCTTAGTAGCAGACTGCAATATCAGAAACATTCACTTCAACATAAGCAACTTCCTTTCACAAAAATAAGAACTTGTTGTACATGCTCCAACTTCACTTACACAAAAAATTACACATGAACCGGCCCAAAATCCACACTGTTCCATGTGACTGCTTGTATTTAACATGTCGGAACATCATAAAAACACCAACTAATTTAAACTACTATTTGACTATGATCCTACATAAAACACAACTACTTCTTCAGATCTGGAGAGAATCAGGTAATTCTGAGTCCCAATAAACACAGAATCAAGTATTTGATAGAACTGTGTAACAGCAAAAATAACACAGGACCTTGAGTACACAGAAATTGAAAATGCACTAGTTCGTAGGTCCTGAGTGTGGTGATGCTGATAGATCAGTTCCTTACGAGATTCCACGGAATAAATATCAGCTCTGGGTAATCATAACAACTATAACAAACACGCACCTAAAATACTGTATCAGTTTATAGTTGCTAAATATATTTCCATTGTTTCTCTGCTGTAATGCAAGTTATAGTGAATTTAATGCATATATTGCGTCTATTAATTTAAATTAGTGTACAGAAAAAAGGTGAGTTATGGGAAAGACATACATAGTAACACCAAAGAAATTATATGGAATATTTATAAGAAGCAGACAGTGATAAAGCTACAAATTTCAACCAAATACCATACACAGCTTGTAAGACCACAGGTATTTCATGATTGCCCCCATAAAATCCGAGAGGAGAAAAAAATCATACCATACAAAACACAGATTTACCTTTTGAACTTGCCCTTCTTTCTTACCTCACGTTAGAAAGCATCACACACAACAGACATTGATGAGTTTGTTAAGGCTGCTCTAAAGAGCATATATGATTCTCATAGAACAGAAAAGGCGAGAATGATGATATGACTACATAAGAAAGAAGAAAGTCCAACTCAGTTTGAAAGGAGTAACTAGCATTCAAAAATTAATCTGCAAGTTTCACTTTCAATGGTAAAGAACCCAGGACAAAAATGCTAATGGAACATCACAATGTGAGGGCACTGACTACCAGATACAGTTAAATACAAAGAAGGAAGGCCCACCACTTACACAGCTGAGACATCCACAGCAGTTACATGGTACCTCACAACTTGAAAGATGGCAGTGGTAAATTTGTTCACTTAGCTCTCACCTTATCACCAAATCCTACTGTCATTACAGACTTGACTTCATATCATGTTCAACTGCCCAACTTCAGCTTCAACAAAGACAAAGATGCAGAAATGCAGATGCAAAGAAGTGATTTTCATCATGAAACATTCAATTCACAATGACAGTACTAAAACCCAAACTTTATAAACTGCTAACAAAATACAAACCCCAAGACGCAAAAAAATGACTCACTTCTGGTGACTTTTGGCAATTTTGTGCTGTGCCTCCCCACCAACTGTCCAGACTTGAACCCTGTGGAAATGGTATGAACACAGTAAAGAAATGAGTGTGTCAAATGAAAGTACATGAACAATGCCATGCGACTGGCATAAGAGAAATTAAACTCAGTTATAGCAAACAACCGGGCCTTTTGCTGAATATGTAGTACGCCAAGAATGTCCAGCAACCAAGGTGGTTACTGACACATACTAACAAAATTATCATAAGCAGAGAAGAAACTAAAAGTACCAGCTAAAATTCAGACATTTCTTAGGGCAAGATGGGTGTCCAGGAGCTCTTTTCATCTTCAAACTTGGTGCAGGAAATGGTCAGCAGGACTGTTTCAAACATTGGAATGTTTCATTACTGTGCATTGCTATGTATTGTTATTATTGTTATTCAAGTACCACTGCTTCAATTGAATTCATTACTGTTATAAAGTAAAGAACAAGCAGTTTTCGGCAATGTTACTGACACACACAGTATAACTAGCTTCAGTACTTGGCAATACCAACGACACCATTTCACCCCTCCCCTTGCTCATATTTCAGATGCTGTAGCTTTGTGTGCAAAGCTGACGGCCATGTCCAAACTAAAAGTGACTGATGTACATCCAGCTTCAGGTAACAATACACAAATCCAGAATTAAGTCGTATGCCAATACGCCCACCACAAAGAAATCTTCATTACAAGAGGAATTATTTTCTAACCAGTCTTCAGGGCAGAAAAAAGTAAAGCAGCATTTCTAAAACTTCATGTGCACATAAAATCACAATTCAATACCTCATTGCACAACAAATCACATCACTGCAAAATCATGTTTTTACAGAACGTATGCCCATACTATTTAATCTTCGTAACTAAACACTTTGAGAAATGAAATAAATGGGAAGTGACAGTGTTCTCTACAAGACTGAATGAGTATCCTGAAAAGTGCAGTACCTAAGGCATACAAATAAGTATGAATATAATGGGAGAAACAATTTCAAAAATAAAACAGTGGTACAAGGAGATGATGACAGGCTGGACAAGATCTCACTGCTATTAGAAGAGTGATGTATTATTAAACACACAGAAATCTGGCTTAAATCAAATTGTCATGGCATGCAAACACCACCTGAGTGCAATGATACAGAACTGACCCAAACTCTCATACCCCAACACGTTCACCAACCTCAAGTACTTAAACAGTTACAACATGAAGAAACCAGTCCCACCAATAAAGACTACCTCTGCAATATTCATACCTCTTACTTCAAATACAAGCTTCCATCTGCCCCACATAAATCTAGTACTATTACGTGATTGAAAGCAAATCTACCATTAAAAAATCATCTTGCAAAATACTAATCATAATCCAAAAGAAAGAAGAAGCACGAGAAACCGCACAACTTCTCTGTGATGTGTTTATGACAGTATCAAAATATATGCTGGATAAATGTGCCAGAAATCAGAATTCCTTCACCAAATAATACACAAGGTGTCCTCTGCACAATTCAGGAATGCTTTAGTCTACAACTGTTCCAGTCTACCTGGGTACTGTTGAAAGATGCCCATCTTCTGGGTTGTAGCACCACATAGTCTGGCAGAAGGCACCAAGTACCTCTGAAATATTGGTAACCAGACTACATAGTGCTAAAACCAGGAGACAGCCATCTTCATATTCACTGCTGTGAGAACCTCAAAGCCTACCTGGGTACTGATATTGATTGCAAAGCATTGAGCACATGAGATCCTTCATTACAAACCCAATAAAATACTGATGCTATATGCTCACAGCTTTCAGCAATTACTTCAGAAAAAATTATTCGACGTGATGGGGAACACTTGTAGAAAGAAGCTACATAAACATCTACACTCTTTACAATGCTATATTAAAAAGGGTAGCAGCGATGTTGCTAGAGTGCAGGAGCGAGTGACAGGTGTAATTATACAGTGGGCCCTCAATGTCTGTTGACTTCCCAGTATGTAATTTCTCATATTTACCATTCACTACTAACACTATCTACTGTCATGATGCCACTTGCCTCGTAAGGCATGCATGTAACTTCAGTACTTGAATATATGATGCACATTGTATGAATGAATGCATATAAGGAAGAGGGAAAATGTCTAGGTGAGATTTCCAGCTGACTGGCTGAAACGTTGCCAGTGCATTGAGGAATACCAGAACCACCAGCAAAGGGGCAGTCATCAAAAGCACCAGCCTTATGGGGCACTGCCTTACACATCCTGTTACAGGAACACGTATGCAGGTCACAGAGGAAGAGGAAGGAAAGCTCATACTGGTGCCCTGAATGCAAGAAGGCTCTTTGTATCTCGCCGTGCTCCGAGATTCCATCATACATAGTTTAATTTAAGCAATATGTCACGATAAAGAGGGTTTAGGTACACCAAGAAACTTTAAATTCACTGAAAAAGAATTTAGTGTTGTTAAGTGTGTAAATGAAGTTACATATTTCAACAGTATACAGTATCAAATTATTTGTATAAAATGCCTCAGAAATTACCCAGTACAGGTTACACCTTGGAAGGTCATAATCCCCACTCAAACCAGTCAACAAAGGATATCAAGGGACCAAAGTACATTATAACATATAATCAGCACCCCTGTTTTTTCCCCTCTGCAAATGCATACATAAATGTCTTTCTTGGCATACTTTCATGGCTAGCAGCATAAATTAGCAATTAAATCACAATTCCTGTCATTGACCATACTGATAATATGTGAGACAAAATTCAATCAAAACTACACATTCCATGTTAATGCAAATTTTTAAAAAATCTGAGGTAATGACTAGACACAGTTAATGTTTATCTTTTCTGTGTACACCCTTTAAAATGTTGGTATTTCCATAAACATACACAAATAAAAGCAATGGTACTCACTGTGTTATTCTGGGATATGGGCTCAACTTGCTGCATTTCGTGCTCACTCCTGAAACAAAATCAAACACCCACAATTTATTCACTATACAACAAAGCTTTAAACTCTCAATAACAAGGAAAAACAAATTCTTAGGGGAAGGAAGGAACAAGTTTATGATCTTCAAGCAGATGTCCCTGATGACGGAGGCAGTATGACCTCTGAAACGTTGGTTAACATCGACCAGACTACACAGCGCAACAACCCAGAAGACGGAAATCTTCTTTATTATTCCTTGCAATTGCAATTATGTTAGATTGCTAGTGATATTTTTGGGAAGAACTTTCTACTGCAGTCGCCAAACTTCTCGTGAACCACGCTCGCTAGTTCCTGGGCCACCCTGGTTTAAACATGATCAGGTAGACTCAGAGGGGCCTGGTGTTGCAGTAGCCATTTCAAAAATGCTGACTGTTGTGGATGGACCATTTTAATAAATTCTCAATCCTCACTAAGAATATCTCTGCTGTACCTTCCTTGGTGCTTTACCTCCATTATTACCACTACTCTCGTTAAATCCTCGTACCACATGTAACTAGAAGCATGGAGGTAACAGAAGACATGTTTTTGGAATGTATGTTGATGTGCATGCAACATGTCCCGCTTTTCACTGCTCACCTTGCACTCATAGTTAGCAAGCTGTCTGGCAACAATTGTAATTATACACAGCCTCTGTTAAGTTTGTCAGATATGACATCAAAATTCCATACCACAAAACAGCCGCAGAATTATAAAACATTTCATGCATAATCAGTAAATATGTTTGTGATTGATCTCCATCACTGTGCAACTGAAATATAAAGAAAATGTTTGCATGGACACCACTTTATTGCTGTACATTTTACAAAAAAAGTTACCTTAACAAAAGTTGCATATTTTCTAGTATTTTACTATCATTATCAATTATAACTTCAGTATCCTATACAAAGTCCCACTAGTGTCAAACCCAACTCACAAGTTTGCATACCAAAACAGTTATACAGTTCAGGGTGCCTCCAATGGCATGTTTCATACCAAAATTCATAAAAGTTGGTCAACTACTTCAAAAACTAGAAGGGATAGGTAAACATATAGTCAACACAGTGACCTTAACAAAGGGAAGTAAAATAAAGATAGTGCTCATGAACACCTAGACCGTTCCACTGCATATCAGTTTTTAAACTGATTACTTATTGAACTATGGCCATTGGTCTACTTTCCTTACTTCATAAGGAGAGAGAGGTTTACAGCATGTGTTTGTTCCAATTAATAACTTTCTGAGGCTGTAACAATTTTAATATAGTGATAATTTGTCTACTACATATGAAGTGCAAAATGTATCATTACATTGCACATTTATTCTTTTGAAGTTCTCACAATCTAGAACGAAGCATCTAAGGCAGGAGTTGCAAGTTCCTCCAACAATTTCTTGAGTAAAATGCATTTTTCAGTAACTGGCCATGCATGCCTTACATAATGTTAACACTTCAAGAATCAAAGTAAAAAGGTGCTATAGATATATTTGTTCTATGCTGAGCTCTATGTGAGCAGATGCATCTCCTGCTTACCTATCTGCTATATACATAAAATGGTGCTAAGCTTCATGAATAATGGAGCCAAATTGTTGGTATATGGCCATCATTCACAATCCCCTCAGTTCGGCATATACAGTGACAGGTGGGGCTACTCATCCTTAGTGTCACTGTGCATCTCGTAATCAAAATCTGTAACACAATTATCAAAACAGACCCACGTTAGCATGAGAGCAGGATGCAACACTTCATGTATGCCAGCTTCCTCTTGGGCAGAATATGCATAAAAATAGCCAGAAACATGGTGGAAAATGAGGTCAAATGTAAATTTCCCCTCTTTCCAAAAGCAGATCAGTCTGTCAAAACTAAACAATTTACAAATAAGATATCACTACTTCAAAATTATTAAAAATTATAAGAAATACTGAGAACCATTGACAAAGACATCTGATATGGACACGCAGTAAAATTCCATATGAAAACCACTGAAGGTCTAAAATAGAAATATACTTTCTTTAAAAAAACTTCATCACGCGGCCACTTGACCTCTCTCAAGTGCAAATGGTGGCACGGAACAAACATCCATTTTGGATGAAAAGTGTATTTTTATGAACAAATCCTTCCCTTAAAACACAGAAGACATACAAAAGTTGTAGACATTACATGATTAGTTCTTTATCCTGAAAGTCATCATCGTGTAATGTCCCCAGGACAGAGCATTTATTTCTGAAGCAGATAATGGTATTAAATAGAGAATGTACATCACAAACTCTCAGAACACACCTTTCTAATCTATATTGTATAACCCTTCAACCCAGCCACCACTGTCCATCCTAACCATGTTGTAAAGAAAAGCCATGATTTTACTCTGACAGCAACACAAAACACAGCATCTACAAATCCAGCTCTCAACTGAGGACACTATTCTGCATGTCAGAACATTACTTGTTAACTCCTTCACTGTACATTTTTTTGTAAGAACAAAATGCTTGGCCATGCAAACAAATGTGAAAAATCTTCTATGTAACTTTGTTTTTTGGACTACTTACCATCCACTTATTCACCCTAAGATACAGAATCTGCCAATAAAAGTTAACTAATACCATCTTCTGCAACCTTTACATTATCTAGAAACCATGGCTACCTAAAAGTTCACTGTACCTTGTAACATTTTATGGTAAAAATGATACTTTATATAAGCAAAGGCAACTACATGTTGCCAACTATTCCAAGAAAAATAATTGCTACATAAATGTGTACTCGGTGGATCTCTCAACTTTTACCTTGCAACAATGCAAGCTTCACATAAACTGAAGATGGTTGTGAAAACCTCAAATCTTTCACAGAATCAGTCTGCTAGCACATTACTGCAAGCTCTGCAGGGTAAGAGTTAGTGTGATGTCACCGGACAAATTATTATTTAAAATTTATTATGTAAATAGATCATAAATATACTTACGTAACACGCAAGTTGTAAAACAAAGGATTACTGGAAAACGTGAAACATAATTGGCAGAACTGAACGTGGAAAATCCCTTCGGCAGATGAACTACATGAGCGGGAAAAAAATGAGGGCAGGAGAAGCTAATCCCTAGCATATCACCTAATTGTGTGCTTGTTGTGGTCAACTCATCCTACTGCTGCATGCAAATGGATATGGATACTTCCAGATATTCCCTAAAAGATTGTATAACATAAAGATGTGCAACGGGAAATTCTAGTAGCAAAACAGATGAGAAATAGAATTCTATTCTGATAGACGCAAGAAAGCCACTTGCCTTTCACTGTTCATCTACATTTATTTCCCTTCCATACACCTTTTCAACAAAATAAAATTGGTCTCTCAGAGGGAAAGACACAGATAAAAGCATCTGAGAATAGGATATTAAGAATACCTGGACCTAAAATAGAGAACATAACAGGAGGTTGGAGAAAGCCGCATGACACATTTCATAATTATGATCTCTCATAAACAGCAGGTTGAATTATGACGAGCCAGCATGAAAGTCACATTTTGAAAACTGTAAGACTTACAAAAAGAGTGTATGACAATCTCATTTTTCTCAACCCCTTCAGTCCAAAACAACTTTCAATCCGATAAATACTTCAATTATGCACATATACACACAAATGCATGTAGGTCTTCATGTCACATTTTAACATAGTTTTGGAACATGTTATAAAAACTTATCAATATCAAATTTCATGAAAATCTACTAAACTGTTCATGAGGGAAAACATGATGCAAGTAAAAGGTGTATATATTTTTTTGCATATTTCCATTGCAAACCCAAAAACCTGATCATAAAATGGTGTCATGCACTGGATTCATCTAGCTTGGAACAGAGACTAGTAAATAGGCTCTTGTGAATACAGTAATGAACCTTCTGGTTCCATAAAAGTGGGGATTCTTCTTGGGAAACAGTTAAAAATGTCTCTTTATACTTTCCTTCTGTTTCCAATTGTCTCATGGGTTGATGGAGAATGTGCCAACTACAACCCACTATTAAAAATTTTGTCCTTGAAACTGTCTATGGAATTCCCTTCTATATGAGTACTTGAATCTTGTTTCATGAATACATGCCAGCACTGTTCACCTGTTCCCCTCACAAAAACAGAGATGAGTATCTGCTCCATGTATCTTTCAGAATCATACTGATGAAAATCAGCCAATTTACTCTACCTGTACCCACATTTCACCATTCATCAAGTTTATAATTATGTAACAATACCCTGTACATCAGTCTCAGATACTGAGAGCTCACATATCTTGTGCGAATTTACTCCCCATGGACACAAAACCAAGCTTCATCAGGAAAGCAAATCAGCATGGGCTCAACTTCACTATCATAAACAGAGGACTCGAGTTTGTTAGCAGGAACACCAGGATGTGATCAAAAATTGTTTCACTTCTGTGGAAGTTCATGCACAGTTATGAAACCCTGATCACTTTATGCAAGGCACGTGTGGGATTGATTTCTAAGAATATCAAGCCTAGCACCAACTCCATCTGATTTCTCTTCAGTACGCACCTGTTTCAATTTGTTTTGACCAGTAACAATCTTGATTTACTTACAATTCTACAGAGTTTCTATATGTAAACCTAACATCCTGAAATTTATGCTGGAATCATTTTTTTTGCAGTACCATTTTTCACATACTCACTACTCCAATGTGTAATGCACACATGGTATTTTAAAAGACAATAGTGCAACTGATTCAACTGCTGCTTATCCCAAACAAAAGTGGAAGTTAATACACCATGGATTTCTGGAGCCAAAAGTGGGCAACAAAAAATGTATTTGGAAGGAAATGAATGACTAACCTAATTTTAGGCTCTGTACCAGCATGACAGCATAGACGGTACAGATCACTAGACCACGATACATGCCCCAAGTCTTCCTGCATAGAAAGCAAGACAGCTAGCCACTACACCATGATACTCAGAGTTCTCATCCCATCAACACAACAGTATGTGCGGAAGTAATGCTCCCACAGTAGCTGCCATCCACTTTCCTTCCATACCACCCAACTGGCCATGGAAACATGGGTCATGACATTTTTAAGGTAAAAGACAAATGAACTAATCACGTTTATATTTTACACATTTTATTGTAGTACTGAAACTGATCCATTTTCCAATGTTTATTTAGGTGTAAATGCAGGAAGCGCCCATTAGGGCAGAGTCAACACGCACAGAAAACAGCCATGCCTCATACCATGGAGAAAGTATTTCTCTCATAGTGTTTCTGTCATCTGCTCCAGTAAGTGGTCTCCTTTTCCCACCTAATGTACACATAATTACCCTGCACTATTCAGTGATGCATGTATTGTGATATAACATATACCATAATTAAATAACAATTTCTCATAACTGCCAACATTTCACAATGGTAGCAACCTCTACAAAACCAATCAGCAGGGAAGGGCTTCACAAAAATAAAATGTTCCTATAATCACCCGCTCATTACCAGAGTACCAAAATGCAACCAGCTGTTAACATTTTTGGGTTTATGGGTAGACCAAGACCAAAGAATCCAATGAATATTTCAGTAACAGTGATAACACACAGTGAAACCTATTTAACAAGTCCCCTTCAAAAGTTACCCCTCACAGATGCCATCTCCCCCTCTTCAGATGTCTGCAATCATCCCACCCACCCACTGCCAAAGTTTTCATAACCTGTCTCCATAAAAATACTTGTAAGTTAGTTGCTCTGTATTGCATCAGAAATGCATCGTACGCTGCTTCTCCATGTCAATGCATATGTGATACCCAACAGAAAATATCACATACAAAAACTTCTGTTACTTCATGATTAGCTAATTCAATTTAAACACATTAAAATCTTTGATCACAAAGTATGCCAAATATAGTTAAATTAATCCAACTGATTCAAAGTTCACAAGTTACAAAAACAAAAGTGACAGTGGAACCATGGTTCCGGAGAATTTGACGTAAATACGTCTCTGTATTTAAATTATATTTACGTCTCTATAATGTAATGTAATTTAATGTAAAGTAAAGTAATGTTATCTTCAATGTCATCCATCTTGTTACGAAAGCGGATTGTTGACGGCAGTAATGTAACATAACAATGCACGCATGCTTACCATTGTTGTCGATTTGTTGATACGGATCTTACACATTTTTCTGTCACTTTTTTGCGGAATGACCCTTCCACATAGACGTATTTTTTGTCAAAAAGTGGCAGTGGAACCACGGTTCCGGAGAATCTGACGTAAATACGTCTCTGTATTGTTGTTACCTAGGGAACACTAGACACTATAATGTAATGTAATGTAACGTTTCCTAGGTAACAACAATGCCGAGTAAACACGACGTTCCCTAGGTAACCATTGTTGTCGATTTGTTGATATGGATCTTACACATTTTCCTTTCACTTTTTTTTGCCGAATGACCCTTCCGTATAGACGTATTTACGTCAAAAATTATCAAGTGCCAGATTCTTACAACCTTCTTCACACCTCATATCCTCACTTTAATGAACCTTAACATGCAATATAATTCATGTCAGACAATATAACATGTCATATAATTCAATTCTAAGGGTTCTGACAATGGTGGATTACACTTAAAACTATTCCCTGTCTGGACTTTTTCCATCATCCATGTTTATAAGAAAAAGTTGACAGTGGAACCACGGTTCCGGAGAATCTGACATAAATACG